CATATGTGGAATCTAATGAACTAACAAGAAAAACTGTGACAGACTCATAGACAGACAACAGGCTTACAGCTGTTGGAAAGTGGGGGAGAGATTGGGGAGGTGGTGGAAGGACTGAGCAAAATAGAAAAAAAAAGAGGAATAACTCATGCATGTGGACAAAGTGTGGTGACTGCCAGGGCAAGGAGGGTTGGAGGCAGGTGGAGGAGGTATGGGGTGATGAATGGTGATGGAGACTTGACTTGGGGTGAACATACAAAACAGTGTACAGGTGATGTGTTGTAGAATTGTGTACCTGAAAGCTACATAAGTTTGTTCACCAGTATCACCCCAATAAACTCAATAAAAAGGAAAAAATGTAAATCTAAAAGAAAACAAGGAAGTGGGATTCTCTCCCTCACTGGGAATTAGAGCAAAGCTCTCTGGATCGGGGTCACTATGAGTCAACCATACAGTGTGCCAATCTGCTCGGCTGCCTCAGATCTTTGGAAAGCAGAGGAAGAGAAAGTCTCACAGGTAAGTCACATAAGCGTGTTAGAAAAGCCTTTCCCAAGAGGAAACAAGGACACTGGTCTAGAACTGGTTTAAGGGCTCCCAAATGTGACCATTTCACAGAAGTGATTAACTTCTGCATTACAGCTCTCCATAAATAAAAGGAAAAACAGGAGACTAATACCAATATATTAAATAGGTTATTTAATTTTGCTATGCTAGGATATAAACTAAACTATTAAATTAGAATTAACTCTTATAGTCTCAAGTTGATGAAAAAATATATGCATATTAATTAAATGTAACAAGAATAAAACTTTAAATTTCATTCCATATTCCATCAGATGTTATTTATACAAAGTGTAAAATTACCATGTTTTATTTATTTTAGGCAACTGATAATCTCAAATCAGATTATAATTGAAATATAAATTCAAGATATTCAAACAGCACATAAATTATCTCAATTATGTTTCTGTTAGTATTGACTCTCCATGTTTTTCTTACCTTGTACTACTTAAATTCCTGATAGAATTACAGTGGCAGTTGACTTTTAATCTTTTCATACTACATGTACCCAGTGATAGTTTTTTTCTTCTTAATATATTTTATTGATTAGGCCATTACAGTTGTCCCATTTCCCCCCCTTCATTCCCCTCCACCCTACACACCCCTCACCCACCATTCTCCCCTCTTTAGTTTATGTCCACATGTCTCAAGTTCTTTAGTTTCTACATTTCCCACACTATTCTTTTCTACCTACCATCTATGCTATTATTCTCTATACCTTCTCTCCCCTTCCCCTCCTCCCACTCCCCTGTTGCTAACCCTCCATGTGATCTCCATTTCTATGGTTCTGCTCCTGATCTAGCTGTCCTCTTAAGTTTGCTTTTGTTTTAGGTGTGGTTCTTAATAACTGTGAGTTTGCTGTCCTTTCACAGTTCATATTTTTTATCTTCTTTTTCTAAGTCCCTTTAACACTTCATATAATAAGGGCTTGGTGATGATGAACTCCTTGAACTTCACCTTATCTGAGAAGCACTTTATCTCTCCTTCCATTCTAAATGAAAGCTTTGCTGGATAGATCAATCTTGGATGTAGGTCCTTGCATTTCATGACTTGGAATACTTCTTTTCAGCCCCTTCTTGCCTGGAAGGTCTCTTTTGAGAAATCTGCTGACAGTATGATGGGAACTCCTTTGTAGGTGACTGTCCCCTTAGCTCTTGCTGCTTCTAGGATTCTCTCCTTCATTTGAATCTTGGCTAATGTAATTATCATGTGCCTTGGTGTGTTCCTTCTTGGGTCCAACTTCTCTGGGACTCTCTGAACTTCTGGGCTTCCTGGAAGTCTGTTTCCTTTGCCAGATTGGGGAAGTTCTCCTTTATTACTTGTTCGAATAAGTTTTCCACTTGTTGCTCTTCCTCTTCCCCTTCTAGTACCCCTATAATTCGGATGTTGGAACATTTAAAGATGTCCTGGAGGTTGCTAAGCCTCTCCTCATTTTTTTGAATTCTTTTTCTTCATACTTTTCTGTTTGGTCATTTTTTCCTTCCTTCTGCTCCCTTGATTTGAGTCCCAGTTTCCTTTCCATTACTATTGGTTTCCTGTGCATTTCCCTTCATTTCAATTAGTTTAGCCTTCATTTGTTCCTCTAATTTGTGACTAAAATCAACCAGTTCTGTGAGCATCCTGATCACCAGTGTTTTAAACTGTGCATCTGATAGGTTGGCTGTCTCTTTGTTGCTTAGAAGTATTGGCTCTGTGGCTTTGATTTGTTCTTCTGTCTTGAGCCATAATGTTTTGGTCTGTTCGCACCCTTTATGTATAAGAAGCGAAGCCGTAGGTGTTTACCAGGGCAGGGCGACCTAGTCGCTGGTTTGTGATGCTATATGTGGGGGCAGGGTCAGAGAGGGACAGTGGTGTTTGTTCCGCTGTCTCTCTGATTTCAGTCTCCTCTGCTGCTTCCCACAAGCAAACTGGTCCCCCCTGGTGCTGGCTCCTGGGTGTGTGGGCCTGAGCACCCTCCAGGACTCTGTGGGTCCCTCCAACACACTCTCTCTGAGCCTAGAAGCTTCTCCCGGCACCTCAACCCCAAGAGTTTTTCCAATTGGTGCTTTTAGGCTTTAATTCCCATAGCTAGAGCTCTAGCCTACACAGTCTGCCTCACTGCTCGCTCCTTCACCTGGTTTATCTGAGTGTAAATGTGTGACTGCAGTCAGCCGGCCACTTTGCGCCCTCACTGGGTGCACCGTTGGCACCCCATGCCTTGAATCTGCCAACCGCCGCCTGTGCTCCTGGGTTGGTCAGGCCAATTTTTCCTGCCCGATCCCACTGTGCCAGCCACTGACTCTGCCCCTCTTACCAGTCTGGCTGAATGGTTCGTTGTTGTCGGACTTTCGTACAGTTCAATTTTCTGTGTTTTGGTTGTGTTTTTGTTACTAAAACTTTGGTTGTGCGAGGATGCACAGTGTTTCCACCTACACCTCCATCTTGGCCAGAAGTCCCCCAGTGATACTTTTAAAAGTATCAAATTCCTTAATATTCCTGAGTAAATTGCAATCAATTTTTACATTAGACAATTTAAAAAATATTTCCACATTAATTTTTGTCCAACATTGCATTAAATACTATCATTTTTAAATGCATTTTTAAAGATAAAAAAGCAATAAAACCAATTCTCAAAGTAAACAAAAGACTTCTTGGTTGCCCTAGATTTATAAATGTCTACCTTTCAAGGAATCGATAACCCTCTCACTCCTGCTGCTCTTTCAATTTACACATTCCCCCTCTACTGACACTATGAAGAAAAGTTAGTACTTGCTATAAAATCATGATTCTCAGACACATATCACAATCAACCAGTAACGTTTTCAGAATGATGGTGGATACCACCCTTAAATGGAGCTCTCTTAAGGTATATGTATACATAACTGGAAAATGTTCCTCCACTGACCTCTCTAGGGACATCTTAGCCCTACCCCCTCTTGGCTATTTCCCCTAAAACACAGCTTTAGATAATCTGCATTTTAGGAAACAAAAGAGAAAACGATGTGGAAAACAGAAATTCCCTAAGGAAGCTGAAGCAGAGCACACTCCTACACAGAGTCATCCCACCTTTTGCCCTTACTTCCAACTCCACTTCTTAGACCTTCAGTGGGGCCCTGTAAGAGCTCTATGAAGGCGGTGGAAGCCTTGAAGGAGGACCACTGGGGTGGGAATAAATGAGAAAAGGAGGTAAAGGAATGCCAGACCTGCCTCTCTGCCCAGTGACAAAGATTCAAAGACACAACCTCCTGCCTCTACAGTGTGGAGTCCCGATCACAAGGGTCAAAATCTAGGTACCACCTTTCACTTCAGCTATTCTGCAACAACCTGAAACCACCATTACAAACAGTTTTGTTTCTGCGGGAAATCCTTTCAGAGACTAAACTCAATTTTTTAGGCCACCATTTATTAGTTGGACAATGTCAGAGTTAACATTTCAACTGTTTTAATCTCTAGGAAGCCAAGAGCATTAGGATAAATAAAGGTTATAACTCAAGGCTGATTTATAAATTAAATTGTTTTTCATGGTTTAATATGAAGTCTTAATTTAAAAATGGAATAAAATGTTATTGTTTAATCAATAAAAAATGTCCTATACAGTTGTATACTTAAATGAGAACATTTAACAGTTATTAATTCTGTATTAATTTATTCTGATGCTACTCTAAATGTCTGAATTATATTTTAGAATATGCAGTCTTAATGAAGAAAAAAATCCTTAATTCAGTCTCAGAAAGGGATTCATATATTATTCAGTCATTTCTTTTTTGATCCCTTGACAAAAATGTGTCTTGGGTCTTTCCTGTCAATGGAGGGCTAGGGGCGTATTTCAATTGAGATGTCTATCTTCAGACTCCTACTCTCTTAAGGGTGTTTACCTTAACTGCTGTGAAAGGAGAGCTCAGCAAATGGACTTTTATGAATCAGAAATTGTTTACTAAGTTTAAATTGAGGCAAAGTAAAAAAGAAAAGAAAGTCCATTAGGGATTCTAGGTTTCTGAGACCCAGCTGTTTGTGCCTTAGGCCATATATTTAAAAGATAAAAAGTAAAAACCCTATTTAATGACACTATTTGGTTATCAAAAAGTTGTCTATTTTCAGGGGTATTTAGGGCATCTTGTTATCTATGCCTACAGAGATATTTCTCCTCAAGAAGAGAAATTATAATCTAACCAAGTATCAGATCCAGAAAATTGCTCTCAAGTGCTGCTGAGCCAGCTCTTACACAAAAAAAGCACAGTATATGATACTTTTTGAAATTACACTTTAGAAAAACAGCAGATCTTTTAATACGTAACTCAATGTGCCATTTCACACACATCAATTTTTGTACTAGGTCAGTTGGTATGTCTACAGCTTACACCCAAAAGATTAACAAGCCATTCCCAAAATTACTTAACTAGTTCGAAACATAAACTAAAGGCATAACACACATGGACAAACATGAAGAGTTTTGGAAAACTTACCTGCGTCCTCGCACTAGCAGTCTGGAAGCTTTTCCTAGTAATTCAACTGCCTGCCGTAAACGTTCTTCATTCTGAAGGAATCAAACAAAAGAGAGTGTTGGCTGCTTTAATGGAGTAATATTTTCCCTCCAATAACTACTGAATAAAAAAGTAATGGCACTCAATATGAGAGTGAAGGGTTGTGCTGGGAGGGGGGCACCACAGGGGCTAGTCCGCTTCATTACTCTCAAAGAGAAAAAGAAAGACTTCAGCTGTGAGCACAGGAAAGTTCCATAACGTAATGCCGTTTCTCTATTTTCCTGCATATTATGAATCTAAATATTCTAAGTATACTTGAAGAAAAAAATTCAAACTTACTTCAAACACATTAGCTGTCTGTTGATATAACTGTACAGCCTTTTCTGGATCTACATTTTCTATAAGCCTAAATTAGAAAAGAAAATTTGACTTATGTGAGAAATGGAAAACTTGTTTCTCAAAGGACTTTCCTAAGACAAAAAGGTAAAGGCTCCTGGGCAGACTCTTCTGCACACTCACTTTCCAGCTCGCTCCAGTGCCATGGCTGCTGTGTCGGGGGTGCCGTTTTCCAGGTACATCGTGCTGGCTTTCTCAATCAGCTGAACAGCCTCTGGTAGTTTCTGCATCTCCTTTAGGCAAAAGATACAGAGTAGATCAACAAATGCACCATCTTAAATACAAAGTTAATCTAAAATTCAATTACCTTATCCCTGAGTCATGAAGGTAAACAAGTCAAACCCTACACAATAAATATACTTAAAATGAAACATCTTCACCCAGTTATTCTCCCCATCAAACTTCATTTAGCCAAACTAAATATGTATCAGTTAATATCTATACAGAATTCATCACTTCACAGGATTTCAGGGAAACTACACAGAGTAAAAACCAAAACATTTGCTCTTTACCACTTTTGTAAGCATTGAAAATTCTTTGAACATTAACTAAGTCCCTATTACATATACACGGACTACACAAAATAGTAGCCCAAACAGCTGCATCTTATTTACAAGTGCCTCTTGTTTTAACCATTCAGTATTTTAAATTAGATACTTTCACAAAAGCTGTTTTATGACTTCCTATTTTTAAGAAATATCAAAATCTAAGGCCTCAGCAGGCTTACATTCCCGCATGGCAATAACACGCCGGAGCTAAATAGCAGTGGTCCTGGTGGAGGCATATCACCTGCTAGAAGCAGTCTCACTTCTTCCCTTATCCTACTGCCCTACACACCCCGGCCCACCTCCTTCATCGCGATCACTCCCCTATCCCCTGAGTTCACAATGCTGAATGCCAGCCAGAGTAATCTATATCTTACCATTAAACCCTAAGTGTCAGTATCCTGCGGACATCATATCTAGTGTTTCCATATCAAAACTTTTTTAAATTTTTAAAAATTCATTTAAAAGCTTGACATAAAGTATACAGGCATTATTTACTTAGGGTTGACATGTTGTGTTAATAATATAAGCTCCGTGCTAACACCTCATGAGTTGTTTTCAAATCTGCCTATTTAGTCTCTCCTAAGTTGACGAATTTTTTAGGATGCAAAACTTGTACTCTAAACTTTAAAATGTAACTTTTCTATTATTTAGCTATGGAGATAAATAACAATGAAACAGATTAAAAGACACTGCACAAAGTAAGTTGCCATCAAACTCAAGTGAAATGATATCAGTTAATATAACCTCAAATCTAGGTGGAAAAAAATCTTTTTTTTTGGTTATAGAACCAAAGGTCAAGGAAAGAATCAAGTATCTATGGCATATGTTGAAGGACATTTGGTAGAAAGGGAAGGTGAGTATAACAAAATCGACTTCACCCACTTAAATTCTGAGGGTTACTTTGGCTTTTACAGAATATTTCTTTCCCCAATTCACTGACCCATTAATTAAATAAATACATACTGAGAAGCTACAATATATAAAACATTAGGGGGATTACAGAAATATATCACAGGGTACTATCCTTCATGAGTCTTACCCTCATAGATAGGGGCAATATGAAGTACCATCTAAGTAATGTGTTTAAAAATTAATTAAGTACCTCTTCTTGCTTTTGCATCAAATCAAGCATGACTATGGGCCAACCACAATGCTGACAACTCTCCATAAAAAGAAGATGGGCTTTTATACTTTTATATTTAAAAGTTATACTGTTTTATACTCTTCACCCTGTTCTTCTAGTAGGGTAAAATCATAAAGAACAAAATTAAAACATGCCTATTCTCAGTGGCTTGGCTTGTGTGCCGTCGTCACCTCATAGCTTCTTTGGAGTGAACAGGATATGAAATCACAACGGCTGTGAAATGACAGAATCAGAGGCTGATCCAACAAGTCCCCGTGTCTTCCCCTGTGTCTCCACCAACAAACTCTCCCTTCCTAAGCTTCAACGGGGGATGAATGTGAAGGTTGTATGACAAAATGGTGGAAACCATCCCTGAGAACGAGCGGTAGACCAGGGAGCTCAGGACTCCTAAGAGTCCTAATTGTCTCATGACTATTCAAAAGCATTTAATTTAAATACAAGAGAATGCCAGAATGTACTTTCCTTTGTCCTTTTCCTTATCCATAGGTTTATCTTTCCTTCATTCAGAGCAGTGTCTTTCAAATCCTTAAGAGATTAAGAAGAAAATAATTTCTGCATAATAACCATTGATGAAAACGAAAGCCTTAGCACAGCTGTTAGAGTACAAGCTGAGGCTGAGAAGATTATATATGATTAGTGGTCTACCACTTCTGCATTAAGACAGTGTATCCTAGTAACGGCGCACAAAGTACACTGAAATTTCATGAGGAACCTTGGTGATTCCTAGTCTCAGGGGAAACTATCTTTCTATTTCTTTACAAATTAGAATCACAATTAGAATTCCTGGGTCAAAGGCTATGAAAACTCTTAAAACCCTTGACATATATTATGAAAGTATTTTTTAATGACATTAGAAAATCTTCCTGAAAACATTATACATAAACAGTAAGACAGATACAGAACTGTATGTACAACATTTTCTATTTTCTATATATGTGAAAATGTATTATATGAAAATAACTATAAGAAGAAAAGTAAATATGTTAACAGCAATTACTAACATTCTTTAATCCTTTCAGTACTTGTAAATGTTCTATAATGAGCAAGTGTTCACTTAAAAAACCATTAAGATTACAGAAGTTGTAAAAATTAAGAACAGTAAGTTCTTAAAACAATTCTTTACAGTAAATAATTCAAAACAACTTTTTACCATATCAGAGAACATAAAAATGCAAAGGAAAATGTTTTATCTCAACTGCCGCTGGCAGACTGTGAGAGTCAGTGTCATAAAGCAGTACATTCTGTCTCACAACAGTACATTAATTGCCAACCTATTTTTAAGAAGCAGAAATATGAAAAGCAGCATAGCCACATTAACCAAAATATTCCATTCAAAAAGACTCAGTTAAATAGCAACAGCTTAAGTCTCTGTTTCTCTTCAATGCCAACTGATATTTATATAAAACAAGTGAAAAATCTCTATAACTCATGGGTAGTAAAAAATACATACTTGTAAATTTTTTACTACAGTAAGATGTCCTACATTTCTCAAAATTAGGGAGACTTCCCACATAGTTCTTTGTTTAGCAATATATTCTCACCTGGTCACAAAACTTAGAACTTTGGGGGTTCCCAGTTCCTCTCACTTTTAAAACTTATCTTATGACACAGTGTACCCTGTAGGTCCAATTAGCATGGCTTTCTCTTGCCTTACAGCATGGAGACTTTTCAACTCCAACATAAATTTACTTCATTACGGCGTAGTTAACTCATTCTATCTATATAACAGTATGACAGAACATTACTGACCTTCAACATCATGCCAGCTTGCTCATAAGCTCTGCAAAGAGAATATAATTTCTAGAATGAGATCTTAAAGAAAAAAGGAGGAGGATAAACTTTCTACTATAAATAAAGTTACTTCACTTTTAACTGGCTCAGGTACTACATATACTTTAGGCTTGTATTAGCACAGAACATTATTTTTTCTTCATTTTATTTTTGAGGGCAATAATGCCTTAGAAACATCAGGCATCTGAATTGCAGGAATTTTATTTTGCAAATGCAAAATTAAGTATGACTCAGAAAGGTTAAATGAACTTCTACATGACAAGGATAAATCCAAATTTTGAAACAAGTAAGAATTCTCTAAAAAACCGGGAAAAAAGATTCCTACTTTTCTCCATAGGCACTATTAACTATCAAGAAAAAGGGGAAAAACAGAGGTTCTAACTTACTTTGTTTTTTCATAGGTTACTGAATAGAATGATTTTAAAAATATTAATGTGGATTTAATTTAAAATACTTTATCTTAGGAGAGCTTAGTTTCAAGGTTCAGGTAAACACTGAAACAAATGGAAATGATTTTTATTTAAGTCAATACAAAAGAACTCACTATTTATAAATTTGTATTGTAGGAAAAATTTTACTGACCTATGTATGGAAAGACAGCAACATTTAAAACATAATAATCTGCAAACACATGAAAATGTGGGAGGATATTTACTTACTTGGCAGCATGAAAAAGACTGAATGGATGTAACAAAGTCAATATTAAGGAAAAAAAGCAAATCAACCATTTCTAAATATTTACTATTTAAAAGAAAAGGTAACTAAATCACTGGCCCAGTGGAAATCCAAAGGGCAAATCCTAAAACCAGGTAAAAAAGAAATAACTTTAATGCCTGATGATATCTCCTAGAACTACATAATTCACAATACCACACAGATTTTATACTAGTTCCATTATGAATTAATATGAAGAGTTTTACTAAAATGCAAGGCTACTATAATCATAATTAGCAAGGGCAACCAAATAAACAATTTTCAGTATAAGTTTTTAAAAAAACTTCAGAAAATCTTATTTCAAATACCTGAGGAAGACTGTATTTAAAAAATTTATGTATATAGCAGTTTATATATCTCCAATACCTGTGCTACCTCTTAATTCCTCACTGCCTATCTACAGATTTTCCTCACTTCATCCCAAGTAAAACCACAATCAAGCAAATCCAGAAAAATCAAAAATAAACTCTCAAATGTAACTCTACTAAGCAGTATAGACCTTATGATCAGAAGCATCTATAAATACTCCTTCAAAGTTTAAATATACAGACTGTTCTCTAACCTAACAGCATTGTACTCCACAACGTAGCAAATTTATAACAAGTGAAAATGCATTTGTCAAAATCATGGAATTGTCAAATCCTTTTTAAAGGCTGAAAAAGATACGCCCTGTTATTCTCATGGGCAACAGCTTCTCTCAGACAGGCATCTTTTGCTTGCTCAAACTGTTTGGCATTTTTAAAAGCAACAGCTGAAATAAAACAACAAAAACAAAAAGACTTTCTATTTCCACCACTTAAAAACCTTCAAATGAATCATTACCAAAATCTGTGTCATGTGTAAAGTATTAGAAATACATACACTTATTTTAATCAAATATTTAGGAAGAGTCATAAAACTTTAAAATTACTTTTCTAAAGCAATTTTCTTACCACATTTCAATAATCAATAACTTAGAAGTATTTTCAAAAGTTTGGTTTTCTTATTTGTATACTATTTCCTACAAATCAGTGCTACCTCCACTCAAAACCAGGAAGTCTTCCTAACTAACACCAACATCTACGCTCTGAGAAACTAAGACAGCATCAGTCGAACCAATGCTCTGGAATAACAGGTACTATCACAAAAAACAGTACCTTACTTCACTAGTTTTATATTTAATAAAAACAAGCAAAAAAAACCCCAGTGCTTTAGTTATAGCTTATTCCATCTTTTAAATTACTTTGAAATAAAGACCAATATAGACATTAAATATTTTTATAATAAACCCTCCTATTCAGCACAATCTTTAAAACAAATGACAAAAAATTAAAAATGCATTTAAAATAAAGCTTTTGTACCATTTAGGTTTCTGTGGAAAAAAACCCTCACTATCCAAAGAGTTAAAATACAGTGCTCATTGCTATAAAATGTCATCATCAAAGCAAAACAATTAGGATTGGCTCTAAAATATATTATGGATTTGACAAATTTACCAAAGGTTGCTTACAAATACATAAAAAGGATACAACTTTTTAAAAAAAGGTATTTGTTAAAATACATTATAAAATTCTCTTTAGTAAAATACTGAAAGTAAACTACCCAAAATATTTCCCCTCTCTGACTTAAATGTATTTTGCATAAACTTATAAAAGAAAATAAATAAAGAATGCTTTAATGGGAAGAACCTGACCTGAAATATTTATTTTTGAAAGCAGCTCATGGTCTCAGATGTATATAAAACAAATCTGTGTCAAATTTCCCTCATGGAAATTTAAAAAATGTTGTGCCCTCCCATTACAAAAGCTTCTTGTACAGGTGTCCATAAAATCCATACAAGGTTTGAATTTTTAATAATTTTCCCTTTAAATATGATATAGAAATATCAGAGAATTTACTCAGGATTTAAATAAAAGTGCTAAAAACTCATTTGTTGTCATTTCTTTTATTATCTAGAAAATAACGCCTTTATTGTTATTGATTAGCTTCAGCTTACAAATTTTTTTTTTTGGTGACATACTAAAACTAAAGTTTGCCAGAAACCCAGTACCTACATGATGTCTACAACAGGATAATAAAAGTGAACAGAAGCTGCTATTACTGAAACACAATCACAGATACCCTAAAAGTTATATCCACAACTTAAAAGTGCTAAATTTTTAGCAAAGCCCCTATCTGCTGCATATTTCAGATTCTTATTTTACATATGAATAAATATATTCTAATATGTATGTAGCTTGAACACTCATGAACATGTATCGGTATATCTCAAAGTGAGTCTCATAAAAAATCATGGGCCAAACACATGGTTTTAGATTTGCTTACAATAAGACATTACAAAAAATTTAACAAAATTTTGTATTCAATAACAGGAATTATAAAAAAGAACATGGCAAATTTCTAGAGATACTATGCAACTGAATGAAGTTCAAGAATATATATACACAATGCTAAAAATCTGCAGCTAAGTTCTGCCAACCCTACTCATCTCTCCTGTCATGAAGAAATATGGAGATTTCTGACTCAGCCCTCAACATGTTTGAAAATAACAAGTGTTAAACACACAAGGGACTGGGTTGTTGTTGTTTATTAGAATCTTACAGGAAGCATGAAGAGCAAGTATTATGCTGAGAGAAAGTTATCAGCCCACTCTAAGATTGCACACTGGAGTTATAGGGGCTAGTCACACGTACCTGCTTTTCCATATTCAGAAGCAGCACTGTCATAATCTGGTTTCCACTTTAAAAAACCAGTTTTCAGGCTACAATGAAAGAAAGATGTATTTCTTAGAGGTTGCCAACCACATTTATAAGTAAAAAAAAAAAAGGAATAGGAGCTATCAGGTAACAAGTCCCCATCCAACCTTATTTACAATACAGCCTCACCATCTTCCCTACCAGTGGCATAGATAGGGTTTTCCTCCTTTTGAAATGCCTGTATAACATCCAAGTACAGCAGAGATTATCTGAAAATATTCTAGAAATATATATTGTTGCCCCATCCAAGGCCCACAGAACCAGTGACTGGGGTGACCAGCTTGTAAACAAGCCCTGAGGCTATTTAAATTTAAGGCTTGAAGCCCTCTAAAGCACAGCACAAGTAAGCATTTGGCTTTGTAAGACAAGCTCAGGAGAGAGGCTGGAGAGACTAAATGACAAGTCATCAGCATTTGCCACATCAAGAGTCCTGTTAAGATCCCCTTAGGGAGTCCTTGAGAGGGGGCTGAAAGACTGCAGAATATAAACTTCCAGAGGGAGTCACCAAAAAAGGTTGCAAATTAGCCACCAGTGAACAAAAAAAAAAAAAACCAAAAAAAAAAACCCCAGAGAGACAGGGATGTTATGAAAACAAGAGAAGGTGCTTTCAAGGATCACTACTGGCATCTCAGATGCCAAACCAAACAATCAATTCTGAGTCCTTACCTTACCTGCCCTTTCTGCGGCATTCTATTTTCTTGCTCTAATTTAAAATAATTATGTATTTCCAGTTTAAATTAACTTAGTGACTAACAAGCTTGCCTGTGCATAAGAACTGCTAAATAAACACCATCTCAGATTCTAAATTTCAATTCAATTAGCTTATACATAACAATGTCAGCATCAAATGTCCCTGAGGGGAATCCCCTTAGAAGTATCCATTCATTTTCTGACAGCTCTGTGAACTGCCCAGAGGCCCTAACTTTAAAGGAACATTTTCCTGCCAAATAAATGTATTTAATATTTGTGTTTGCATTTATACTGGTATGATGCAAATCTGTAACTTTTCAAGCTCACCAAGAATACTTTTGCTCAAAATAATTCCTTAAATTGCAGTCTATCCACGCTAACCCACAAAATTGAGGAAGTATGCAATAAAACAAAAATTTCATCCTCCACCCTACTCCAAAGCACTTATTATATCCTATATATTAACAGAAATTTTAATTTTACCCAAAACAAGGCATAACAATTCAATTGTCTAATGGTCTATACATTAAAAAGCTAGAGATATAAAATTATAGTATTGGGTGGCCAAAAACTCTGTACATAAAAGACACACTTTTCACTTTCACCAGTAACTTTATTGATCTGGATATTTTGAGTATGTTGGCTATCTCCCATGTGGTATAACACTGACTGTTCTCAATTAATGTCTCGATTTAATCACTATCAACTTCAACTGGTCTACCTGACAGTGGAGCACTGTCCAGAGAACTCTTCAGTGTGGAACTTCACAAACCACTGTTCACACATTCAATTGGTCACTTCTCCATACACTGCACAAGCCTTTTTTTATGTTTCAGTTATGTTTTTACCTTTCTTGAAATGATAAAGCATATGCTGAAAATGTTGTGTATTTTCTTCAGTCTTTAATGTTAAAATTACTACACAAAAAAATCACCAATTTTGATGTTTTTTGAAAAAGCAAGCTGATATAAAAGCTGTCACAATACAATCTAACAAAATTGTTTTGAATGAAGTTAAAGACAACTAAGTGCTACTAGAACCACAATATGGAAAAAAAAACAACTTTTTGGCTAACCCAATAAATCATCCAGGAAACTAAGAATCTCTAATTAAGAAGGGAGAAGGCATTCTAGTTTAGTTCAATGGCTATAACCGTTTTGACTATTTCTTTCAAAAAGTGAATAAAGAAATTTTATTGAGGTTAACAGTTTAATCAATTTCCAAAGGACCAAAACCCACAAAACCACCACCTGTTTGAGGGGGTTAATTATAATTACAAAACTGCTTGGCAATATGGAACCCTATTATCAGTAGAAGACAGAAATATCAAATCACCTCTGTTCCAGGCCCATTTTTCCTGCCACCTACTGAGCCTTCAAACACAACACAATCCAACACCCAATCCAACACCTCCCCGACCCAGCCCTTCCCACCCACCATGTTCATTCATCTCTGCTTCCGCTGAGGGCCTCTCCACCATTCCACCTCCCAAATTAGGAACATAGGGGTCAAGCCTCTCCCTCCACATCCAGTCAAGTCATTAAAGCTTTTCAATTATAATTGTCACCCAATTCTGCTCCTCATACTGTTGCTTTAATTGGGGCCCTCACCATGACAGCTTACTAACCTGTAATGGTGAGGTCACCTTTTGGGCTCTGCCCTCTTGTCTTCCACTCTTGGCACAGCAACCTTTCCTTACCTTGTATCTCAACCGAAGCCACTCTATACTTCATATCTAACGATGAATACCTTATTTTTGGCTTACCTGTCTGCCCTCCTGTGATTTCTAGGCTCTTGAGGAAGAGAACCCTTTTAGCTCAGTAACCCCAGTAGGCTGTGTACAAATACACAGTAACAAATCTGTAAATGTTTGTTTACTAAATATGCCAAAGTTTTCACTCTCCCCTCCTCCCAATTCTCCACATTGATACATTTCCTTTAGCTAAAATAAATCCAACCAGGTCCCACTGGTTATTATATCCCTAGGAAAGCTAAGGTTCAGGACCACTATAACAGAGGGGCGGACCTTTCAATCTGGCCCCAACTCTTCTCCATTCTGGCCCATGCCCTGTGTCCTGCAGCTACTCTACATTCCCTGTTTCCCAGCACATCTTCAGGCCTGTGCTTAAACTATATCCTGGGCATGGATTCCCCCTGTAATGGGATTTCCCCTCCTCTAAATATTTATTTTGCCGACCCTGCTCAGAAATCACCTTTATTACCATGTTTCTAAAAATCTCCAGGCTGGGGTTACCTCTGTTACCAAAGCACAGTTAACAGCTTTAGGATGATCTTTATTACAGACACTATTCTAATAGTACTTCTGTTTGCTCTCAATAAACAGAAAGATTATTGTGGGCACCTACACCAAGAGTCCCAGTACTTTCCACACTGCCTGGAAATAATGTGATACAACAGAAATAGTTTGAGTTTTTCCCACTGTGCAGCCTTGCATAAGTTATTGTAAGGGTTCTTCATTTCCCCTTCTGTAAAATGAGAATCTCTATTTGCAGAGTTGTGGAGATGTCAGTCACATTACGTATATGAAGCATCTAACACAGATCACAATATAGACATCTCATTACCTCGAACTGCCAGATAAAAATTCGATGGGCGTTAATGCAATGGAGGAGCAGAAGAGCGTCAAAAGGATTATGCAGAGAGCAATTCAGTTTCACAAATATTTACTGGGTGCCTATTACATCCCGTAGAAGCTGGCCGAACAAACGTAAAAAGACTAAAAGGAAGCGCAAAGCGCAGTTCTTGCCCCCAGGACGAGTATAACGTGGCAAGACAAAGGCTCAACGAGGAATTTTCAGGGTCAATCTATAGCCCACTATCCAACTCAAGGCAGTCTTTTAGAGTAGTGGTTCTTAACGGGGGCGATTTTATCTCCCCCTGGGACAGTTCTGGTTGTCACAATCGGGGAAGGAAGGAGGAGAGGCATGGTACTGGCGTCCAGCACGTACAGGCCAGTGATGCTGCTAAACTCGCTACAATGCACAGGGCAGCCCCCACCACAGGGACTTAGCCAATTCAAAGTGATGAGATTCAAAAAACCAAGTTAGAGCAAAAGCAGCGTTGGTTCGACCACACGGACACCCAGAAAGGGCGCAGGGACGACTTCCGGCGGGAGTGAGGGATGGCAACCAGGCTTACAGACCTGTACCGGGCCCCCGCTGCCACCTTCTGCCCCAAACCACCATCCCCCACCCACTCTCATTCCCTCACGTTCTCCTTTCAACCCGGCCGGAAAGGGGCACGACCCCAGCGCCCATGCAAACGACATTAGAATCTCTCACTATTTCTCAGCTTTGGCGAGGTGCTCCAGCCCCTCATTTATCTTCTGAGCCGCCATCTCCACAGTCCCAGCCCTAGAAAGCTGAAAACCCGGCTGAGAAAGCTTCGGAACACCCAGCAGGATGCCGGGACAGCACCAAAGCCGAGCGGCTACTGAGGCCAGCAGAGGTCAAATTTAATAAGGCAAAGAAGGTACGGAAGCCCGTCAGGGTTCAGGGAGCCAACCACTGCGCAGGCGCGGAGAGCCTAGGCCGTGTCAGACCGTGCGTTTGTATCGCGGGTGCGGTGATACGTTAAATATGGTTCCTTCGTTCAATCAATAAATATTTACTGAACACCTCATATGTGTCTGGCACTGTTCTAAGCACCTGAAAAGCAGCAGGGAGTACAACAGGCAAAAACCGCAGCCCTCGTGGAGCCTTGCCTTTTCACTCATGTGAAAACGCATTGGCTTTATGATGTATTACATTTGTCCGTAGCTAGAATAGTTCATTTTTTTTCATTTCGCCTTTTAAGTGCCAACTATATACCAGTCAGTAATCAAAAACAGATTACTCCTGATTACTGTCAAAGAATTACTCGACCAATACAAACTGTGGTGAGTGTTCTGAATGAGAAGTTCAGAGAGTTAAGACCACTTGCTACCATCTAGCAGAAGTGAAGCTAGTAATACAGTTGGCCAATTCATAATTCATAGATAATTCATAGTGATTTCAATATTCACATAGATGTTTCCTGCAATTTGCATGCACCTTCTCAGTTTCTAACCCAACAGACTCAAACACTATTCCCAGGATTATAATCTTGACTTTAGTAATAATTGTGTCCTTGGCAGTATTGATTTCAAGCAGCCCACTTTAGCTCCTCTTGTCATTCCAATCCACCTTTCCTAGTGCCAATAATTCTTCATGTTCAACGGAACTCTCACTTTTTTCTATCCCTGTGGTCTTATTCACACTTCTTCTTTACCCAGCATAAACTGCATGCTCCATCCTTTTAGCTACTCCTTTTCATAGACCTTCAACCTCCTATCTCTCTCTCTCCTTTCTCTTAACTGGAAAAACCCCTAGTCTCCACTTACTCTGCAACCACTCTTAGGCAAGTAAATGTGGCTGTAGGAAAACAAATAGCATGATGCTAACATTACTCATTTTAATGATCATAAACATCAAGAAAACCTTTGCTACCGATGGGCAACTGCACTACATTTCCCTGGTCAAATCTCCTGCCCACTCTCTTGGATGCTGTACACACACTTCTTCTCAAAACTCCAATACAGTCTCCCTACCTGCCTGCCTGTCACCTGCCAACTTTTACTTTTTGTTTAATAATAAAAAAAAAACAGCAATTAGAAGAGATCTTTTATTTTCCTCACCATCCCATCAACTAATTACTTGCATTGTTCCAAAATATTCTGCCTTTGTTCTGGTGTCAGTGGTTGAACTGGCCTTGTCCCTGTCCCCCATCTATCCTAATTTCCTTATTCAGTCTCATGGGTACGAGTATCACCCAAGCAGGGGGCTTCTTATTATCACATTGTCCAGCCTAAGCTTCCTTATGTGAAGGACACAGCATTCCAATAGGAATTCCAATAGGGTGAAAGTGGAAGTCCTACAGGCTCATAAGGCATTGGCCTCATTTTATCAATCAAATCAAGTCACAAGGCAAGTCCAGATTCAGGAATTGGGGGAAATAGTGGAATTGCAAAATACCGTGGCTGTGATGCCCCTCAGTCCAACGCAGCCCTTGGATGACTGATTAAGAACAAGAGGGACTGTTGCTGGTGCCTTTAACAGCAAACAGAAAAGCCTTGCATTTTACTTTTACTTTTTAAAATATGGAATGCTTCACAAATTTGCATGTCATCTGGCACAGGGGCCATGCTAGTCTTCTCTGTATCATTCCAATTTTAGTACATGTGCTGCCTAAGCAAGCACACAGAAAAGCCTTGAATTTTAAAGTGAAATTAGACTTACTAATCACCCAGTGCCATCAACCTCTAAAACCATTGAAACTGCCCAGGTGTTTTTCTATGGGATTGCCACCAAAAGTCTATAGCCTCATCCTCATTCTCACTGGTTCACATATTCATTTATTATTTCCTGACCAACCATTCTACACAAGGCCCTACACCTACACACCCAAGACAAAAACCCAGGCAAGGGGATGTAGGCAAGAAAAAAACCTCTGCCTCTACCCATCTTAGTTTCTCCAGCTGGAGAAATTAGACTGGAAAAGACAGAGCAATAGGCAAAAAGCATACACATTTATTTATTGCAAGTTTTATGTGACAACAAAACCTCCGTAAGAAAATGAGGACCTGCAAAAGCAATTAAACCTGAGTGTTTTTATGCTACATTTGATGAAGAGTGAAAAGTCATGAAAAAATGTAATAAGACAAAGTGTATGAACTAAGAGTAGTCAACTGGGGAAAGTGAGTGAAGCCTTTGTTCAGATTCCCCTCAGTTTTCTTGTCTTCAGAGAGAAGGAGGTTCCTTTCCTTCAGATCTACGGAGAGCAACTCCCACATGAAGGTTGATGGGATTAGGATATGCTACCCCAAAATATGGCACCTTGGAAGACTGAATATATTAAACTGAAGAAGTTTGAAAAAACTAAACAGCAGAAGCAAGGTTGCTCTGACCTTCTCCCACCTTCTCCCCTGAAGCAGATCAGAAGAAAGGAGACTCCTTGTCTCCAAAGACAAAGGGACATCAAGAAGAATCTGAACAAACAGTCCATGCTAAGTTTCCCTCAGTTTACTACACTTACCTTGCACTCTTTCATCTCTCCTGTTCTTTCACAACTGTCCATTCTCCATCAAACCCAGTAGGAATGTGCTCATGATGATTTTCTAACCAACTGAGGTACCAGGCCAGGCCTCTCTCTGTTTTTTGTTGTTGTTGTTGTTTGTTTGTTTGTCTCTCTGCTTTTAAAACAACACACATGCATCCTGTAGTTCTATGGATAGAAATCCAACATGGGCTAAGATCAAGGTGTTAGTTAGCACGGCTGCATTTCTTTCTGGAGCCTCTGAGGAAGAACCCATTTCTTTGCTTTTCCTGGCTCCTGGAGGCCATGTGTATTTCTTGGCTCATGGCTCCTTCTTCCATCTCAACAACAACGTCAGGCTGAGTTATGCTGCCATCTCTCTGGTTCTCTGACCAAAGCCAGAAAGCTTCTCAGTTTATGAGGACTCCTGCAATGAGCTCGGGCCCACCTGGAGAATCCAGAATAATCTGCTGTCTCAAGGTCTGTAATCTGTGTGTTTTCGATGCCTTTTATTTTTTCAATTACCATTGACAAACGATACTATACTAGTTTCAGGTATACAACATAGAGATTAACAATCATCCCAATAAGTGTAGAACCCCTCTGACACCATAACATACTTATCACAATATTTGACTACATTCCCTCTGCTGTACTTCACATCTCCATGGCTGTTTTTGTAACTGGCAATTTTCACATCTTAATCTCTCCCCCCTTTTCACCCCATCCTCCCAACCCCACTCCCATCTGGTAACTATCAAAATGTTCTCTGTCTGTATGAGTTTGTTTCTGTTTTGTTTGTTCACTCGTCTTGTTTATTAAATTCCACATATTAATGTCTTTTTCAATCTGACCTATTTTACTCAGCACAGTACCCTCTAGGCCCATCCATGTTATTACAAATGGTAAGATTTTATTCTTTTTTTATGGCTGAATCCTACTCCATTGTATGTATGTGACGTATCTTCTTTATCCATTCATCTACCAATGAACACTTAGCTTGCTTCCATGTTCTGGCTATTGTAATTAATGCAGCAATGAACACAAAGATGCATATGTTTTTTCAAAATAGTGCTTTGTGTTTCTTCAGATAAATACCTCAAAGCAGAATTCCTGAGTCCTTTTTTAATCTCTTTTTAGCCTTTGTTTTAAAGTCTACTTTGTTTGCTGTAAGTATTGCTAGCCCAGATTGTTTTTTCTTTTTGTCTCCATTTGCATAAAATATCTTTTCCCATCCCTTTACTTTCAGTGTGTGTGTGTGTGTGTGTGTGTGTGTGTGTGTGTGTGTTTATCTGAAGCAGATCACCTGTAAGCAGCAGGGGATGGGTATTGTTTTCTTATCCATTCGGGCACTCCATTCTGTTGATTGGAACATTTGATCCATTTACACTTAAAGGTATTATTGATAGAAATGTAGTTACTGCCATATTATTATTGACATTAAATTTTTTTCCTTTTTCTTCTTAAAGAAGCCCCTTGAACATTTGTTATAATACTGATTTGGGGGTGATGAACTCCTTTAGCTTTTTCTCATCTGGAACACACAGGTTATTTGCAACACAACACCCAGAGAATTTTTCAAAGATATTAGATCAAGTCACTGCTGGCTACAAACCTGCCAATGACTCCCATGTTTTTAGAGAAAAAGCCAAAAGGCTGACCACAGCCTGCAAGACCTAGCAGGACTTACCAAAGGCAGAGCATCCCCACAGGTCTGCCTTTGTATTTGGTGTCCTTGTTCACACTGGCAATAGCTTTTCTTAAATACACAAGCAAACCTCATCTTAAGGCCTTTGTTCTAGTATTTTCTCACCTGGAGCACATTCACCAGAGAGTTTCCAGAAGATTCCGCACCTTCTTTAAGTCTGCTCAAACCTCACTGCTCTGCAAGGCTGCTCCACTGATGCTGTGACCTGCTCCCTCCCCCCCTCTGCACTCTGCACCTTCGGTCCCTAACACTGCCCTGCTTTCCACCATGGTACCATTCATCTTCTAACATGATATCATTTATTCATTTTTTATTTGTTTGTGTGTTGTTTTTCTCTCCCTTGGAATTTAAGCTCCATGAGGTCAGGAGTCTTTGGATGTTTTGTTTGCTGGTGTTTAGAACAAAGTCTCACACGTAACAGACACATAAAAACGCGTGTGTGTGGTCTTAACTGATGAATCGTTCCCTTGGACCAACAACCATACTGCCTTTTCACAATACTCTGACAGCGCCTATTTCTGGTCTTGTCTCACAGTTTGCTGCGTCTAACCTGCATTATTATGGGAGAGTGAGCAGAAAGATAAATAAGAAAATGTTTGGAGGCTGTTTCCTCAGGAATCTTGGTGGGACTCTTCTTCAAAGCAATTTCTTTAGCTTGTCATCTGCTTCTGTTTGCTTGGCTTTCTCC